TTGTAGATGTTCGGAGAAAAAAAGTGGGGGGGGGGGGGGGGGGAAGGCATTTCTTCTGGGTAGAGAAGTTGCAGAAGAGCTGAGAATTTCTGAGGTTAAGATAGGTATTAACTTTTTGAGGCCAGGAAGTTCAGCACGCGTGGTCAGGTAACCACCACAATAAAATCAGACGTGGAGGAAAGAGAGCTGACACTGTAGAGAACAGATAGGCATCTCGACTGTATCGCTGGGGAGAATGCTGGTGCTTTCTGTTCTCAGCCGGTGTCTGTGACTGAGGTGTGATGCTACACCTCTGGGGTCATTACAGGGAAATACCAGTTCCAGGATTGATTAATAGGTTTGGTACTTTTTTTTTTTTTTTTCCTTCTTACGGTGTACTTAGGTACCCTATGGTTAGGCTTGAGGTTCATGCACTAAAGGTGGTCTCTCTCAGACAGTCACTGATGTGATTGTGTGTCGGGCAGAGGGATCCAAGCTAGCCTCAAACGAGTTAGCTCAGGTATTGCTCCTGACAGCACAGCCAGAGCAGAGTTCATGGCGGGTTGGGGGCGTACCCACCTTCCCGGGCTAGTTGTGCCGCTGGAGAGAAACTGCTCCTGGGACTTGTGCTAAAACAGTTTTAAATATGGAACAGACCCATATGGGCCAGGGCAAAGGAGTGAGCTCGGGACAGAGCGCTGTGGTTTTGAGGGTTTTCTTCGTGTTGGTTTACTGGGGGCGTTTCCTCTTTGCTGTTGAGAGAGGCCCTGTCCTCTCGGGAGGCTGGCGTCCGAGTTGCACTGGGTCTGGCTACACGTGGGATTGGACTGCTCTGTTGCAAAGGTGGTGGCCTTATTTATGTTACTAAAATATCTATAATAATACTGCCTCCGGTGTGGATGCATGCATGTCCAGGGGCCCATTGTTGCCTTCATTTTATCCATCCTGCAGTGCTGATTTTTAGGACAGGTGCAGTCTGTGGTCCAAAATGCTTGTTTGGCCTTTGGTGAGGGAAAAGTCTCTTATCCCTGCTGGATAGGCACGTGTTTTATGAACTCCTGTACCTGTGAGTTGATGGGTGGGAAATCGGTGAGTTTTTTAACTAGACTGATGTAAACTGATGTTATATCTGGGCATATAGACAGAGGCTAAGAGCTACTGCTCTCCTTTTCAGTTAATGTCTAAAAATTACAACTGGGGTGGATTTAGTGGGGGGTGAGCAAGCATTCATCTTCTGTTCCCTTTCCCCTCTCCCCTTCCTTTTGACTTGCTTCGTTAGCATCTTGCATAGCGTGCAGCCAGGATCACATGATAACGGGGAACAGCATCTTGCCCTGATAATTTAATATGTCTTGATAAATCCAGCAAGGCTGTCACGGGGTTTTGTGTAATCAGAAGGATAGGAAATGCTGGTTTGTACTAACCCAAGGTCCATGAACTGCTGGCACGATACAAGACACCACAAGGGATTTGTAGATGATTTGCAACACCTCTGCTCTGAAATCCTTCATACTGCCCTTTTTCCATCCCCAAAGCAAAAGCACATACAGGCAAGGAAGGAATTAATGGAGTGAGGGGAAAATTGGTGAATCCTCAAAGTTTACCCTGGCTTACACTTACTTGGTTGTGCACGATTTTTCATTTTGATTTGAAATAGAATTTTTACGTTCACTTTTCAGAGACAAGGACAATATATTGGTAAACTCCAAATCCTCCTTGAATTGATAGCAGCCAAACAGGGCAGGGCAGGTGGTTGCCTCTGCTCCCTGAGCTCTCCTCTGGAGAGCCAAGCTGCCAGGGATTACCTGGGCCAGTCTCTCAGCTCACGTGCTGGCCCAAAAGTTTTGGCGTGAGCTCTCAGGCTCATGCTGCTCTGTCTGTAAATGTGGAAGAAAAAAAAAAGTGATTAGTTGTAACACTGGTCACCACCTCTTGTGAGAACTGTGGGAAGTGTCAGCGGGAGGCAAGTAGGAGCAGTTGGTGTGTAAGCATTGGTGCTTCCCAGATGACTTGCAGGTACATCACTGCAATTATGACCCCAAACACTTATGCAGATGAGTAAGTGTATGGACACGAACTGCCTCATCAGTAATGCTCATACACCTGAGTCATCCCACTGGGTACTAGGACAGAGTTCTCTTAAAATCCATGTTCCAGAGACTTTTCAAAACTGACCCTTTTTCTTCTAACCATTTTGATTGTTTTCTGAAGTCTTTCTAGTAAACACATTAGCACTGTCTAGATATTTTTTAATTTGTGTAGTAGATATTAAAGACATTTGACTAACTTTGCGCAGATCAAATCTGTAAGAGCTTATCAACTTTAAGATCCTTCTCTCTGTTTCCCTTTTTTCATATTTACTTGTCAAGTTGCAGAGCAGTAGTTTTTATTAATATTGTCAATTAAATGCCATCTTGCCTTCAACATGCTGTAATGCAGTTAAAACTGGGAGCGATCTCTCCGGTACTGTGTTCTTTCTGGTAGGCATTTTCCTGTGTGGGTGTGAAATTGTGCAAACCTGAATGGTAGCATTTTACACAGGTGCGCATGACCCTGCCAGGTGCAATGCAGTAGAGAATTAAGCTGGCTGCTATCCGAAAGCTGTTCTGTTATGATTTACTTCAGGGTTGAAACTTGTCTTTTAAAGCATTTAATTTTGCTCTAGCATATGCTAAGATCTTTTTACTCGTCATGTGCATCTTTAAAAGGTAGTATCTTCTCTTTAGCTGTCTCTGAGTGCAGTATAGGAAGCAGTCATACGTCAGTGAAACAACATAAATAATTTGGAGTACTGAGTGTAACTGAAAGGGGAGATGTTTACAATACTTAGGATTATTCCTGTGAGTTTTATGTAGTAGCTGAAGTAATTTTTAAGCTTGGGGAAACACTATTTACAGATACTGAATTGCATTGTTACTAGGGAATTACTTAATTGCAATTGTAGATTGTAAAAATTGTTAGTCGCTGGGTAGAGATGTTATCATTTCTAGGACTTTAACAAGAAGTTAAAATTAAACCTTGATCTTGAAGTAGCGAATTATCAGAGTATACTGAAGGAAATTAGATAACAGATGCACTATAAGATTAATGAGCCAATTGCAACTTCCTGAGGAGTTTGTTACCATTTGCTCATGTGTGCAGGAAGAGATTAAGACAAATAATTCTCATGCATTCCTTAACTTGAGCTCTTTCGCCTGTATCCTTTCCTATGATTTTTTTTCTTTCTTAAGGCAAAAAGAATTGTGTTTTACCCGTGTTTATATGCAGTTGTATTTACTGAACATTACATTGAAGAGTTGAAGGAGAATGCAACTTCTTCCCCAGACCATCATGACCTTGGCAGAGAGCCAGGGTGCTGCAGGCCAAATACGGTATGGTTGCTTCTTGATTTAACTCCCGCTTTGCTGCAGAGTGTTCTCCAGGTGGGCAAAACTTGCATCAGGAAGCCAAAAATACTTTATAGCTGTTGACAGAGGATTTTGCGATGCAGTGTTTTGTGTCTGCATCAGCCTGTGCCCACCTGTAGAGATGGACTGCAGCTTGTAGAGAAGGAGTAAATGGAGTCTCCTTCCACAGGTCAGTAGCAGGCTGAGATAACAATAGCAATCTGTCCATATGATTTCTGTTTCCATGCATGTGACAACCATGTACATATGCAGATCTCTGATCTGTGCGAAAGTCACGCTGCACATTAATTGCAAACTAGGCTTGAGTAAACTAAGCTCCTTCCCTATTTCTTGGTAAGTTTTAAGTTGTTTCTGTAGTTATTATTACTGATATGCAGTTATTACGTTGAATGGGAATAGTGGAAAGAAAAACCCACTGCAGAAGATAAGATGGTTTTGGAAAGCTACCAGAATTTCAGCTTCTGTTTCTTTCCTTCAGCATACAGCTGTCCTTTGGCCCTACGAACAAACCCTTCAAAATGCCAGCAGAGTCCCATGCACCAAGGCTACCCGAGTGTGCCTTGCAGCCTAAAACAAAGGCTGTAATAAATAAAGGAAAAATTGTGTCTATTTGTCAGATACTAAATAATCCTGGGGCATATGATGCTAGTAAGAGTTTTACTGCTTAAGGCAGATGAGAAGGACTGGAGCTGAGTGCGTCATGAAGAGCTGCATGCTTACTGCCCAGTTTCAGCATCAGAAGTTGAGCTAGTTAGGAGTCCTATTTCTTGCTCATCCACGAGCTCCTCCCCAATAAACAGACTGACTGGT